TCTCTCTCTCTCTCTCTCTCTCTCTCTCTCTCTCTCTCTCTCTCTCTCTCTCTCTCTCTCTCTCTCTCTCTCTCTCTCTCTCTCTACCAAGTACTGACCTGCGAAAGGTGGTGCCTTGATGGAGGTACGTGCTGAAGACGAAGCTAGAGCTATGACTCTTTTGCCATCTGCAGGGTCCAATGGCCCCAGAAATATTGGGGCATGTAGACAAGCAACCCAGGGCCCCGTAGGGGTATATGCAAAAGATGACCAGTCCCATTGGCGAGTGGGGTATTTTGCAAAGTTTCAGTACTGTCGTAGGGGCATTTTGCCATACCCATGCCTTTTCGGGGTATTGACAAAACACCCCAACTTTCAGGGGCATTTAAAAAACCATATATTTCTTTAGGGGTCGCCACGACCTTAGTGTCCGATGCTTGGGGCTTCCCTATCATGATAAGGTCATACCTCATAGCTTTTTTTTTCCTCGGATGTAGATTCCTCGAATCGAATCCTTGATATGAATGCATTGGTACTGCGCTTGAATCTTTTCTCTTTCCCTTTTAATTTTTCCCTCCTCTTCCTATCTATAATTCACCGAAAAGTAAGACGATATTGTTATCCTACCATTGGCCCATTGGACCCATGTCTGCTAAGTTCTTCTCGATGGCATCTATTATCTCCTTGCAATTCCTTTTGATGCGGTATTTCATCCCATAATCAGCATGTTTAGTCCTTAAATATGTGCCACTTTACATAGTCTTTCTCTGCTTATAAGTTTATTTTTTTTCCTAGGCGGTGGGGATCAATGTCTAGATTGGTAATCTATAGTCTTTTTCGAATGACAATAACCTTCAATGTGGGTTGGTCCACCCCTTGACGTTCAAATTTGTCCACTACGAGTTTTCTCAATAATCAAAAATTTATCTCTATACTTTTTGGTTTTTTCTTTGTCAGCGTCCATAATCTTTATTTTTACCTCATCACCTTGGAGGTGGTGGCACAAGGTATCCCTCTCACAAGACCTCCTTCGACCATCACTTTGTTGAGTTCATCGATCCCGCAAGGGGATCCTCCAGTCCGTGCCATGCAGAATTTTACATAATTTTTTTTTCGCAAGGTAGCTGTCACCGCTTCGGCCAAGTGCGTCAGCCATACCTCTCGCAAACCCCTACGACAGGATAAAGGTCATGCGAGGAACAACTTACCTCTTCCCAAGTGACTGTCACCACCCTTGGACAAGTATATCCCTGTCGAGCTATTGAACCATGTGCGAAAGTTGCTCGAGCGCAATCGCAAAAGTAGCCTAGCCGAGGGGGTTTCTCGTTCGTCGTAGCATAAGGGGTATACACGGTCGAACACCTTAATCAAACTTGCACGAGAGCCGACGTTCCAAGGGTTGATCTCTCGAGAGAAGCTCTGCGCCGGTTGAGTAGAATGACCAATCTAACCACACAATACACTTCGCAAAAATAAACCAAGCTTCATATGACCTAGTCCCTTATTCACTTTTGCCCCATAACCTTTTGACAACGGAAATAAGCGAGACTTTAAATAAATGTCTCAGCGACGTAGGTTTCATCATATCGACTAATCATAAACAAGGATGCAAACGGTCACACGGATGACGTACTATGTGGTCCTCATAATCATATGGTCTTCAATGATTTTGGGAGAGAAGTTTAACGGAGACCATAGTTTTCATATCACTTGCCATGCTATTTATAAAAACACAAAAGAGTCGTTTTAATCAAACTTGTCATCAATTCATAGACTGGATACCATACTAACTAACTGAAAGAAAGAAAGAAAAAAAAAAAAAAAAAAAAAAAAAAAAAAAAAA